GGGGGGGGGGGGGGGGGGGGGGGAAGAGGTAACTGGTCGTTGGGCGCACATTCGTGCACCGCGCGGGTCCGATCCGGCCGTCCGCCGCACGTGCGGAACCGCCCGGACGGCGTCCGCTTGCAAGTATGATCTGTAGTCATGCTCCCTCTATAAAGTTGTATTCTCCTTACCTGAGATGAATTCAATTTTGGAGTAGAAAATGTAGAAGTGTTTGGTGAACCAAAAATGATTTTGCCTAAACAAATAAAAAGAATATGCAAAAATAAACTTGTTCTCCCATATTTCTTGATACCATCCTGCTCAGATTTACCTACTTACATTTCCTTTGCTTATGTCGTACGTGCCACCTAGGCTACTACCATCCCTCGTCCCATGCCCGTCTACCATCCTCGCATACAGTATCCTGTCTCTATTTTCAAGTTGCCCCATTTTTTCCATTTTTCACACCTTGTCCGGAATTGTGTCCCCCTCTTTTCTGTGAAACTCAACTCCCTATCTCCCTATCGCCCAACCCCTATCTTCTTCAACTTCCCCTTATCTTGCCCCTTCTATCCCTGGAATCCTCCTATTGTAAGTATGGTACATCTAATTTCCCACCCATCCCCCCCCCTCTCTCTACGTCCCATATGTTTCAAAACTGCAATCTGTTTCAATCTGTCGGGGCTGTACCCTATTCCTCTTCATCCTCGGTCTCCCGCTGAGGAACATAACGTGCCAAGATGGGGCCAAACTGCAGTTGGCCTGTGTGTGGACTCCTAGTCAAGAGCTGCGGATACCGTCTTCATCTTTCCCAATACCCGGCCTCCCTCCCCTCTGTGCGTCGGCACCGATGTACATCTGCCAACAGGGCAATCCTGATGTTCTCTAAGGCACGTTCCTGATATGCCCATCGCGGCGGGGTCGCACCCTGCCTGCCTCTCTCGTTCCTCAACATCCACAAGCCCAATAGCACCACAGCTCTCACAATCTCCTCCACCATCACTTCCCCAAATGCCATTGGGTTTGTGTATGTTGAGGAAGCCCAATAGCTCTCACAATGTCCTCCACCATCACTTCAGCAAATGCCAACTTGTTGACCTTAATCAAGGTTCCCAAGAGGATCTCTGCATCATCTGTATCATCAACATTCAGGGGCGCTCCATCTACAACTTCATCATGATGTGCCCACCATTGGCAGAATGCCCGGACCTCCGGGCATCGCACAAAAAGATGAGGGATAGTTTCCACCTGGCCACATCCTGCAGCACATGTCTGATCCTTATATTGACTTTTGGTGGCTTGCCATTGTGCTGTCGGGATTGCTAGGTGGTAAATTTGCCAGAGTAAACCCGCCTGCTTCTGGTCCGGTAGGGCTGCCATAATGGCACACTGTTCGTTCCATCTCCGATGTGTCCATCTGTTGGCGTAGATGTCCGGGAGCCAGGCCTGCTTAGCCCATCATTCCTTTAGTTCCCCGCAGATGTTGACTGGCTCCAGTAATGTGTTATATATATTTTTTGTGGTCACCTCCTGGATCGGCATAGACTTTTTATGCATCCTCTGCGGTGGCCATTCCCACTCCCTTGGGTCCCACGGCAGATCCCGCAATCTTGAAGCCACCTGAAATGGCAAGAATTGCTCTTCTGCCTTTTTTCCCTCTTCACAAACTGCCACTGTCTCTATCATGGCTCTCGCTAACTTCTTCTCGGCAGGTATCCCCTGTGCCCTCACCTCTTTCAGTGGTTCGCCCAGCCCATCGTACCGCAGACCCGGACTCACCAACCATTCAGTGACCTGCAGGTTGCCGTCCGCAAAGGCCTGTTCCACCCTTTACAGTCTTTCTGGGGCCTTGTCGTCCTTGAGCTTCACCCATTGCCCCACTGTTATATCATCTTGCTTCACGAGGTCGACCCACTGGGAGGGGATCGCTTCCCTCCGGTCTCTCACCCCGCTGTTTCCTCTTCATCCGCCCTTGCAGGGTGCTCTCCATTGCTTCACATGTTCGCCAATCCTTCCGCTCCTCGTCCCATAGGTGGCCCACTTTGTAAATCCCTTGCACAGCCCATTTCCACCCAAAAGCGCCTCGAGGTTCCTGCCATGGGAAGGGTTCCCCCTTGCCATCGCAGATAAAGCGGTTATCAAACAGCAACTGGTTGAAGACCGCATCTGCAGTTTCTGGCAGTCGGCATCTCAGCTGAACCTTCTTCCACCATGCCAACTTTTGGGACTAGACCGTCTCCCTTCAGAGGTGGCCTATCACAGAACTACAAATCAGGCATAGGTCCACCAGTTCCCGTGGGATTTGGATCGCGCCCATGCCAAATGAGTCTGCGTAATCTCTTGCCAAGTTGCCCCCCTTGTGCGCAGCAGAGCCCAAATCACTTGCCGAAGTTGTAGTGCGATAATTTGCAGTCGCGGGTCCAGCAATCCAAGGCCCCCAAAGCATCTTGGTTGAATGAGTTTATTCCATGCCACCCTTTTTTTTTTTTTTTTTGAATTCTCAAAATGGAGTTGCTGGCCTTCGCATTGTTGGACCACAGGTGCCCATGGACAGCCTTCCTGATATAGCGAAAGCTTTGTCTGCCCGGGATGTCCACTGCGCCTGCATTGTTTTTTTTTTTTTTTTTTTTTTTTTTCCCGGTTTCGTTTTCTTGTGTTTTGTTGTATGTGGGTGGGGATTATGTTAACATCTACCTCAGTCCAGATGGGATTATGTTAACATCTACCACAGTCCAGATGGGATTATTTTAACATCCACCATTGATATGTTTCTACAGGTGGAGTAAAAGCATCTACCTCTGCCATTGAAATGACCATTCAGCCCCCGGCCAGCAGCTAGCTCAGTTGGTTGAGCACGCAAGTGGTATTCAGGAGGTCGTGGGTCCGATTGCCCACGGCACACTTTCGGCCCCCCACGGCCCCCTGCAGCACACTTCGGGCTCGCCGGCCGAGATAGACGGTTCGCCCCCCCCTGGACTTGGTAGGGGAATAGGTTCGACCCTTTCCACCCGTTCTAGGGGTTAACCGGATTAATGGAAAAAAAAAAAAAAAAAAAAAAAAAAAGGATTCAACCC